TTTAATTGGGAAGCAAAGAGATGCTCCTGGGAAATTCAGCCAAACAAAAACAACAAACCCTAAATCATGGAAATTATGTAGGCTTTTTTTTATTAGAAACAAATGTTGATTTTTTTTTCTGTCTACACCCTAATTAAAACCATCCTCTGCAATTAGAGTATGACCAAATGAATATCTTTCAGTCTGCTTTTCAACTGTTACAGCTGCACTCAAAATGTTTCTCTGAGATCAGCTAGAAAATATATAGCTCTTTAAGAAGGGCTTAGAGAAGAAAGATTTGTGATAAACACTAGGCTTGCTTAATTCTTTAATCAAACATGTATCTATGTAATATTACGTAACATGGATGCTTCGCTGATACGCATGAAAAGCGGCAGTTTATGGTACATATGCAAACTTGCTAAAATATGAAGGCTATAGATGTGTTTTTCTATATAACTTCGAGTGGTTCTCAGAAGTTAGCACAGTAGTGCCTGAAAATAATCCTTGAGTGCTTCCCAGAAGATAAAACTTGTTTAAGAAGCAATTTTACCTTTTTTTTAAAACCTTTCTATTAATTTCAACTCTTGTACAATCATCTCTCACTATGTATTCAGTCAGGTTTATATATACATTTTACCTATGCCAAGGAGTTAATCAGTAAGATAAAAATAGAACTGCAGAAAGTCTGTGGTGTGTACATACATGTGTCTGTGTGAGTGAAGACATATAAAATTACCTGCAAGAAATGCAGGCACAGGAGTCAATGGAGCGTCTCACACAAAATGTGTGAGAAGACAAAGCAGTAACAACTGCTTTCATAACAAAAGTTCAAGGCTTACAGTGTATGTTTATTGAGTATGTTTCTGTAGACTGTCCTTATTTTCTGAATAGGCAATTTTTAAATTGGGAGGTTTTAAAGCTGAATTGAAAGCTTGAAATTTGTAAAGCCTAAAGGACCTCAGGAAATGAAGAGTCATCTTCACAGTCCTCACCAATTAAGCTCCTAAAAATTAGAGTGATCTTTGTGTCCAGCTTCTGTTGTAGCCTGTTTGTATCATCCAAGATAATCATCTCAATACCCATCACTTCTGCTATCTGACCCAGAAGTTTAAGACAAGATGTACCCTAACATATCCTGACACATCTCTTCTAGTATATGGTCAGCAAAAATGAGGAGGCAGGTTCAGGGTGATTAACCATGACATTACTTCATAGATCTAATGTAGTATGTGTGTATGTGGATCCGTATCTATACAAATAATAGAGTCAAGTGTGTGTTTAGAGTTAGAAAAAGATTCAAGGTTATGTCTTGTATCCTTAGAAGTTAGTTTAATATGATTTGGAGATTAAAAGATTTTTTCCATCTGAAATTGTGAGAGCTACCCACACATAAAAAAATAAAAATAAAAACAAGGCTGTATGGACAAAGAAGGAAGAGCATCACTGTATGCTGTACGGGTTGGGCTTTACTTGTCTGCTGCCTGGCTGCCTGTAAGCGTGCAGTGGTATCTCTATACTCACTGACTTCCTTGTACACATTGTCACAGGAGGCTTGGCTTAATCAGTTGTGAGCTGAAAAAAGTAATATAAATTGGAACCTTTTGTCATGAAATATTTAAATGTGGATATGATTTAATGGCTTTGGGGAGAAAATTTAGCGTGAGAGATTGTAAGAAACAAGAAATCGATTACGTGTAAGAAAGGACTCGAACTTCTAATCAAGTATTACCATATACAGAGAGATCCCTAGCTAGTTATAGCTTAATTCAAAGGGGATAATGGTTAGATTTTTTGTTAATTTTAGGTTTTATCAAAAAATGACATTCCTATTCGCTCTGTATCTAGTTTTGCATAATACATACTTACAATGATTTATGGAAAGCCGTCACTATGTAAATATTGAAGCATATGCTACACAGTATCCCTAAGTAGTGTGTTTTCTATGAAATACAGGCATCTGTGCAATTTTTTTTTTACTTTTGGTGGGGCAAAAAATCCAAACAACTTCTTCCTGAAAATTAACAAGATATAGCTTGCTATAACAAGTAGGAGTAGGAAAGGATCATTTAAGAGCAGCTTTCTGATTCCCTGCTGTTTCTATGACAGCGAGGGTAGCCCCATGACAATGACACCCTTGACTACCAGTTTCTCTGATCAGTGGGACTTAGCAGCTTTCGAAGATCTGGCCCTCCTCATTGCAAATCCTTAAACTAAATGAAACAAAGGGTGGTGGCATCTCATTGAAAGGTAGCTCATGTAGCCAACTGCCAGCTTCTCTGAGTTAAGCTGTGAAATAACTACCTGAACACATACTTGGAGCCCCCGCATTTAGATGATGTCTGCCTGTTTTGTGCATGCAAAGAGCTGGGTGCACTGCTGCCGGGTGAGGGGCTGTGTGATACCACCTTCTACTTACGTGTGGGAGTCTGTTACAGGATCTGTACCTACTATTCTCATGAGTTATTGTCGTGCTGGCTGTATTTAATTTTTATTTACTTAAATATCTGTTTTTGTAAAGCATACAGCTGTTACATAAGCCTGTGAGTGATTTACAAATTAAAGCAAAACCAAAACAAATTACTACCAGTAGTACATTACAAAGCAGCCTGCAGCTGGCTGCAGACAGGAATCCTAATTCAATACATGTAAGCAGTGAAAATTAGATGCTGTTATTTCCATCTTCAAACAATGCAAGTTACAGTTAGAAGGAATGAATACATGTGGCTCAGGATTAGAAATGTCTGTGTATAGATTGGGTCAGAGGTGACAGCAAAGGCCTGGAGACCAAAATCTGAACTGAGTCTGGTTTTGCAGTTCCAGGTAGGAATTACTCAAACATAGAACTGGTATCACTGGCTGGAAGTTGTGGGAGAAGTAGATGTAAGACGCTTTAGGTCACACTCATGGGGAGAGTAGCCAAAGTTAGTTGGATGGGAAAAAAATATAGTCTTAGAGCTTTAAAATATGAACCTGTCCTTTAATTGTTTGTGGTGTTGTTGGTTTTTTCCTCCTTTTCCCCACCCCATTTTGGTTTTGTTTTGTTTCACTTTTTGTTTTGTTGTTGGGTGGGGTTTTTTGATGTTCTGGATGATTTCTACTAGATAGCACTGACTGCCTGTAAAATACTGCTCCGTCAGAGAGGTAGAACCAGGAGGGCATAGAAATTAGAGATGTCCACAGTGCTTAAAGATGTTCAAAGATGGGACATCTCCTGACTAATACTACAAACCAAGACCAGCATCTGCATCATGGTGTTTCCTTTATCACTGTGTAAATACATGCTGAACATTTTCTGCGTAGAGATGGTTTCTGGGGCTTTCCATCTGGGTCAGCTGGGTAAGATTTTCCGTCATTAATTGCTGTTGAGGGTTTCATAGTCTTGTAAGGTTTGATTGTGAATGGTCACATGTGGAGCCTTTTTAAAGGTTTTACAGTCGTATCTAAGGTACTGAAACATAAATGGCATTGACCTTCATCATTAACTTTGTATTCAGAGAGGTGACACAGATCAGAACTGAAATAATAAAACCAGCTGTAATCAAATAAATATATGCTCTACTATTTGGGGCAAATTGCATTTTCCAGTACTCTAGAAAATGTGAGAGGAGAGAAGAATCAATCTTCTGAAGACTGAAGATAATAAAACAAATAAATAAATAAGACCTGGAAAAAAAAAGAAAGGTATTTGCAGGCTTCATAATCAAACAAAAGCTAGTGGTTTTTGCAATAGTGTGTAGTCCAAAGTGTTCAGATAAGGTTCTGAAGCTGAGATTCAAGATTTAAAAAGATCAGAGACAGTATGGCAGAGTACCTTGCAAGGCTTTCAAACTGTTTAATCCATGAGGAGGCATTGGAATAATCTGGTTTGATGGCCTGCAACAGTGCTTGTTGGTTATAGTTACTGTGCTGATGTTATGTCCAGCATTTGGCCAAAAGGAAAGATGCCAATAAAATGATGTATTCATTATATAAGTATTTTAATATGTTTTTATCAATACATGCTGGAATGGATTGCCTGACATTACATTGCAGAATTTTTAAGTCCTACCTTCAGGCAAATCTCATGCTTACTAGCAAAAATGAAAGTGTGAAATGCTTTTTAATGTATATTTAACAACAGATAGTCCAGTGATTACTGATGTGTATTCTCGCTGGATTTTTCCCTTGCTATCAGAAGGCAATGTTAAGAGACAACATTTTTACACATTTATGCTATCTACATCCATCAGACGCTTACTTTTTACATATTTCTAACTGCCATTTATAACAAGGCTGCAAAAAAGTAATCTCTTAAGTCTAAACCATACCAAGATTGCAAGCTTACAATCAATTTGCAGTAATTGTCCAGTTATGCTTAAAGCCAGCGCCCCAATTTCTACCTTTTGATGCAAGTTTATAATGAACATATTTTTCAGTATTGCTGTCATGGGAAAAAAAGAAAAAAAAAAAGGCAAAAAGCACTAAGGTACAAGTATTATGTGCTATTTTTAAGACTTTTTGCCTTGCATCAAAATTTCTTGTGAGATGGCCCATGAGTGACTTCAGTCTTATGTCTGCTTATATTTAAGAAGCAAATCTATCAAATGCATTTATTTAGCTCTTTCTTATAGTGCCACCATTTAATAGCGATTAAGGTACAATTTTCTATATTTTACGATGGCGTGCACAGCAACAGTTCATGTTTTACACTAATGTATGCTAAACAGTAGCATTGTACATAGATCACTGTTGTTAAAAGTATTGAAAGCATTTTAGATCACAGAGCCCTGTAGTTTGTTTGCTCTGACATTATTAAACTCAATCTGTTTCTCTGACTGTGACTCTAATTACTATATTTGCATGGCTGGAAAGTTTGCATTTTTCAGTTGAGTTCTATTAACATTGTTTGCATGTTGTTTTTTGAGCTTCATGTTTCATGTTCAGGCAGCAGAGCACCTTCTATTGAATTCAATAATTATGCAGAATCAATAAGTTTTTCTTTGTGTTTGTCTTTGTTGTTTCTTTGATATGGCCTCTAGGATGCTGCAGGCAAGGTGCTGGACCGCTGGGCCATCATGTCCAGGGAAGAAGAGATCATTACCCTTCAGCAGTTCCTGAGATTTGGAGAAACCAAATCTATCGTGGAGCTGATGGCGATTCAAGAAAAAGAAGGGCAGGCTGTGGCTGTGCCATCTTCAAAGACAGATTCAGATATAAGGACTTTTATTGAAAGCAATAATCGCACCAGGAGCCCAAGTCTCCTTGCTCACCTGGAGAATAGCAACCCTTCCAGCATTCATCATTTTG